GGCTGTCTCCTCACCACCAAGTCAACAGTGCAGCCACACCAGGCAAGCCTAAACATGGATCCTGAGACACACCAGCCTCCCTCATGTCTTCATAGAGACTGTTCTCTTTTTCCACCCAATAAGCTCCTATGCATGCTTCAGAACCCTCTTCAATGTCTCCTCCTCTACAACTTCCAGATAAGTCCTCTCCCTCCCCTAGGCCTGTCCACCCAACTCCTGCACTTTCCTTTCTCAGTCCTGAGCACTGTCTCAGTGAATACACAGGAGCTGAATATCTGTGTCTAGCCCCACCAATCCCAATCACTCTGGGATTCTTCAAGGCCAGAGGACAATTTATACCACCTACACACATACAAACATACTCTGTATTCTATTTTCTCCCCCTCAACCTGAAAGGAATAGGCCTCAGACTACGGACAGTTAGACACGCTTACTCCCAAGAAACATACATCCATACCCCACACAGCAGCCAGAGAGTTCAAAAACACAAATCAGATCATATCCTCTCCCTGCTCAAAACCGATCCCCATCTCCCAAGTGCCCCCACATAAAAATCACACTTCACAGCCTGCCAAGGAAGACCTTGCATGATCCTGGCCTTGACATACCTCTGGCATTTGCCCATGACCTCCCCTGTCTGGGGAACTCCTGCTCCTCCTTGGAAGCCTTCCTGGACTTCTCCAGTTACTGCCTTTGGACTTCTCTTCTGCCTCCCTATTGCCCTCAGGATACAGCTTAAAATCACAAAGTCCTACCCCTCAGTTCCTTTCAACCCTGTGGCATCTGGCTCACTGGTTGTCTTCTTTTACTCTGTTTCAGCACACTAGATTTCTACTTCCTCAAAAATATCACACGTTAAAAAAAAAAAAAAAAAAAAAAAAGGCCGGGTGCGGTGGCTCACGTCTATAATCCCAGCACTCTGGGGGGCTGAGATAAGAGGAATGCCTGACCCCACAGGTTCAAAACCAGCCTGGGCAACTTAGGGAGACCTCATCTCTTCAATAAATCAAGAAAAATTAGCCAGGCGTGGTGGTACATGCCTGTAGTTCCAGCTGCTTGGAAGGCTGAGGCAGAAGGATTGCCTGTACATGGCAGGTTGAGGCTGCAGTGGCCGTGAGCGTGCCACTGCCATCCAGCCTGGGTGACAGAATGAGACCCAAAGACAATTTTTTTTCCATTTAAAAAAATGTTTTAAAAATCACACTGAGAGAGGCTGAGCATGTTGGCTTATGCCTGTAATCCCAGGACTTTGGTAGGCCCAAGCAGAAGGATCGCTTGAGTTCAAGACCAACTTGGGCAACACAGTGAGACCTCATCTCTACAAAAAAGATAAATAAAAAATTAGGCCTGAGCCCGCGGGTTCGAGACCCGCCTGGGCAACTTGGCGAGCCCTCATCTCTACAATAAATCAAAAAATCAGCCGGGCGTGGTAGCGCATGCCTATAATTCTGGCTACTCGGGAGGCTGAGGTGGAAGGATCGCCGGAGCCCAGCAGGTCGAGGCTGCGGTGGCCGGGAGCGGCCACTGCACTCCAGTCTGGGCGAAAGAGTGCGACTCCAACTCAAAAAAAAAAAAAAATTAAGTGGGCATGGTGGTACACGCCTATAGTCCCAGTTACTTAGGAAGCTGAGGCAGGAGGATCACTTGAGCCCAGGAGTTTGAGGCTACGATGAGCTGTAATCATACCACTGTACTCCGGCCTGGGTAACAGAGCAAGGCCTTGTCTCTTAAAAAAAAAAAAAGGGCTGGGCACAGTGGCTCAAGCCTGTAATCCCAGTGCTATGGGAAGCCAAGGTGAGGGGATTGTCTGAGCCCACGGGTTCAAGACCAGCCCGGGCAACTTGGCAAGACCTCATCTCTACAATAAATTAAAAAATTAGCCAGGCGTGGTAGTGCAAGCCTGTAGTTCTGGCTACTTGGAAGGCTGAGGAGGAAAGATTACTGGAGCCCAGCAGGTCGACGCTGGGGTGGCCGTGAGCGTGCCACCACACTCTAGCTTGGGTGATGGAGTGAGACTCCAACTCAAAAAAAAAAAAAAAAAATCATACTCTCCTGCTTCTAGGCCTTTGCATGGACTATCCTTCTTGTCTGGATTGCTCTCCTGCTCCCTCCTACACATGGCTCTGGTCTCAGTTATATCCCAGAGTAAGTCAGATGTCTTCTCTGGGCTTCTCCACTCCCTGAGAGGGGGTTTGTCTCCCTCGCTGACTGGACACCCCTAAGGGTAGGGCGCCTTAGATAGGCTAGTCCTTCTTTCTGGATTGTTCTTCCTCCCCCTCTTGACTCATTCCTTCAGGTCTCAGCTCAGACATTTCCTCTAGGAAGCCTCTCTGCTCTCCCGCACCCTCAGGTCAGGTACTTCCTCTGGGCTCTCCCAGGCCCGTGGGCCTCCTTCACAGACCACTCTGGATCATCACTGTCTATCAATGTGTTTAAGTGGACTTTAAGTCCCAAGTCACCAGTGACTGCTTGAACTGTCTTGGTCAGGGCTATGTCCCAGTAGCAAATATAATGTTTGGCATTTGTATAACTAAAAAATTTTTTGACTTATTGTAGAGATGAGGTCTCGCCAAGTTGCCCAGGCTGATCTTGAACCCCTGGACTCAGGTACTCCTCTTGCCTCCACCTTCCAAAGTGTTGGGATTACAGGCGTGAGCCACTATGTCCAGTCTAATATCATTTATTAACTTTAATTTCTTTTAAGTCAGGGTTTCTCTCTGTTGCCCAGGCTAAAATGCAGCGGCATAATCATGGTTCACCATAGCCTCGACCTTCTGGGCTAAGGTGATCATTTCGCCTCAGCCTCCTGAGTAGTTGGGACTACAGGAGCATACCACCCTGCTTGGCTAAATACCTAATACCACTTATTGAACATTTACTATGCATCAGCCATGTACATGTTAAATATCTGGTCTCATTTAATTCCAACAACCCTATGAGGTGAGTACTACCGTCATCCGCATTTGAGGAGAACAGAACTCAGAGAAAGGAACCCACCTGTCCAAAGTCACAAAGCTAGAAAAAAAGTAGAACCAAATTCAAACCCAGGTGATTGGACTCAGAGCCTGAGTTTTTTGGTTTTTTGTTTTTTTTTTAGTTGGAGTCTCACTCGGTAGCCCAGACTGGAGTGCAGTGGCTGCTCCCGGCCACCGCAGCCTCACCTGCTGGGCTCCGGCGATCCTTCTGCCTCAGCCTTCCGAGTAGCCGGAATTACAGGCATGCGCTACCACGCCCGGTTGATTTTTTGATTTATTGTAGAGATGAGGTCTCGCTGCCCAGGCGGGTCTCGAACCCACGGGTTCAGGCAATCCACTCACCTCAGCCTCCCAAAGGCGCGGGATTACAGGCTGAGCCACCGAGCCCGGCTAGAGCCTGAGTTTTTAACAGTTACTCAGAAGACCCCTCACATATGCTCAGGGCTGGTAATTGTCCACTGGGTCTGGGTGCGTCTCCCCCACCAGACTTGGAGGCTTTCCAGGGCAGGGCCCAAGTTGGCAACAAACCCTTGGAATCAGGCATTTTAGAGCCAAAGGCCTGGACCAGAACCGGGCTCTGAGAATGTGGTGAGTGAATGAAGGCACACATGAATGAACTAGCAGCAAATTAGTGAGTGACCCACGCGGCCCCACTCACCCTCGATGAGCCATTCGCAGTTGCCATTGACGCTGTAGTTGCCCGCACCATCCGTCACGAAGCCTGACGCCTCCCGCAGTACCTGCCGCTGCCCCTTGCAGTCCCCTGCCCAGGCCCCAGGGGACAGCGACCCCAGCAGGGACAAGGCCACGGCCAGGGCCGCGGTCAGGGTCTTGCCTGGGGCCATCGCCGCCTCCCGCATTGACCCTTAGAATGGGGACGGGCCCTAAAGACCTGGAGAGGACCCGCTACCGGCTGCAGGCCCTGCAAATGCGACCTCTATAGGCATAGCATGGCCTTGTAGAACGCTGAGGTCCCGGAGACGTAGTCACTGCGAAGGGAACGGCCGCTGTTCATCGGCTCTGGAAGGCGAAGGGCGGGCCCTACAGACCGATGGAAGGCCCTGTATTTGATGTCGTTATGGACGGGGCCGACCCCTAGGGGCCGTGTAGGTCCTCTATAGACACGGGCCTCCATAGGGCAGCCGGCCCCCATAAACAGTGTCCAGCAGTTACAGACTCAGGCCGCTGCAGGCCAAACGGACCTTACAGACGGGTGGGCCCCCAGGGGGCGAAGGGCTCTACGGCCGGCAGGGACCTCCATAGAAGGTGCGGACCCGGACTGGCCAAGTTCGGATGGTCCCGAAGAGATTCCTCCAGCCGGGGGCGGGGCGCGAGCGTTTGCTGGGGGCGGAGCCCGTCTTCAGGGGCTCGGGCCCGGACCCCATAGACGCACCCCCTTCGCTCACCCACCCGCACCTCCCTCATGAGCCGGATAGGCCTGATCAGAGAGACGAAGGGACGCTAGGGCCAGAGCGTCCCCGGGAAGACCCGCTGGGAGGGCGAGGGGGCGGGAGACGAGAAGCCGCTGTGGGAGAGCGGGCGGAGAGGAGGCGAGAAGTGGCAGAGCGGCAGGTCAGAGCGGCCCTGGGAGGACTGCGGAGTGCCCAACTCCACCCCTCCGCCAAGGGAGACTTCCGGAAACTTCCCCGCCCGTTTGTTACCAGCCGCATGCGCAGCAGCGAACTCCTCGGCCTGCGAAGGGAGCGAGTCACGCATGCGCAGTGCTACGATCGTCACTCAAAAACGACTCCGGCTGCCCGGTGGCTGAGCAGAGCATATGCCACTGGAGGGCGCCTGTACCTCTGTCTGGGAAAGGGAAGGTGAAAAAAGCGGTGCAGTAAAGAGGGCCCTGCTAGATCTTTGATCATTTTCAGTGCTTCCAGATGCTGGGTCAATATAAAGGTCAGGCCCCTGTCTCCAGTCCCAAAATGCCATTTCACAGATGGACACACTGAGGTCCCGAGCCTGAAACAGTTCTGGCTCAGCCTCGCCGCTGAATACCATCAAGATGTAAAAGAAGCCATGTTATAGATAAAAACTCAACGAATCCTCTTTATTTTGGCAAGAAGGGGGAAAAGTCTTTCTGCCAGGGACCCCCGGAATGGAGACGGGGCGGACAGAGTGCGGGTCCGAGGTCACAGATCCGAGGGTGGGTTTCGGGGTCGAGACCAGCATCGCAACATCCATCCCAGGAGCAGCGTCTCGCGTTCGCGGAGTCCTGGAGAGTCACGCGCAGGGTCCCGGCGGTCATCACGTTTCCGGAGTCCGGCGGGCTCAGAGGTCTCGGAGGGGACCGGGGGGCCGGAGGTCACGGAACAGCGGGAGCCCAGAATCCGGCGCCGCTCGGGGCAGGGGCTGAGGGAGGGGACGGGGAAAGCGGCTCCCGCGGGACCGTTTGGCACAAGAGGGAAGGGGGCGCGGGACGCCGTGCGCCCCACCTGGGCGCGCGGGGTGGGGAGGGTTGGGAAGGCCCAGGATGGCCGAGCTCTGGGGCCAGGATAAAGCAGGGGTCCGGAGCCCGGCCGGGCCCGGTGCGCGGCCCATGGGGCAGGGGTGCGCAGGGGTGCTCAGACCGGGGGTGCGGTGCCCCCGGCCGTGTGCATGCTGAAGTATTCGGTGAAGCCGGTGTGCGGCGCCGCCGTCTGGGGCACGAGCGGCTGGTAGGGCGGTGTCGGGCCATCCCAGCCCGGGTCGGCCGCCTTGGGAAACCGAGCGGGAGGGGGAGGGGAGGCTGCGCCCGGCTCAGCCGTGGTCACCACGCGGCCCCTCGGGGCCGCCGCCGCCGCCACCGCCGTCTCCTCCACCTGCTTCCCGGCCTGGGGGGGGGGCAGGGTCAGACGCCGTCCGGGACCCTCGGGGGGGCAGATGCGGCCCCGAAGACCCGTCCCCCTGCCCCCGAAGGACCCGTCCACCCCAGGTATGGACGCAAGAGTCAGTCAGGGAAGGAGTGGGTGGCGGGGCGCCTGGGCAGCGGCGCCAGATACTCAAAGGGCGGCGTCGGGGCGCGCGGGGCGAACTCCGG